AATATGCTGCCAGATTAGGTCAATCCTTTGGTTCGTCCACTGAAACTTTAAATGTTGGAAAACATGAAATGGAAGTTATTCCCGATGTAGAAAACAATAAATATGTCTTCTCCGATGGGATTGGGAAAATATCTGCTGATTTTGCTAAGAAAGTGGCCTCAAAATGTGGCTTTAATGGGACTCCATCTGCCTTTCAGATTCGATATGGTGGGTACAAAGGTGTGTGGTGGCCGTTGATCCAACTTCATCAATGAAATTATCATTGAGGAGGAGCATGTCCAAGTATGAATCAGAAAACACAAAGTTAGACGTTTTAGCATGTAGCAAGATTCAACCTTGTTTTCTGAACCGCCAGTTGATAAGTCTTTTATCCACCCTTGGGGTTCCAGATCCTGCTTTCATGAAAAAACAAAAGGCAGCAGCTGTACAACAATTGAATGCTATATTGACTGACCCACTAAAAGCACAAGAGGCTCTGGATTTGATGTCTGCAGGGGAGACTACCAACTGCTTGAAGGAATTGCTTATATGTGGTTATAAACCTGATGTTGAACCCTTCATTTCAATGATGCTGCAAACATTTCGGGCATCAAAGTTGCTAGAGTTGCGGACGAAAACAAGAATCTTTATTCCAGATGGACGAGCAATGATGGGATGTCTAGATGAAACCAGAACATTGGAATATGGTGAGGTGTTTGTGCAATTCTCTGGTAACAGGCATACTGTAAGTGCATCAAACCAGCGATTCATTATTGTGGGGAAGGTAGCTGTTGCTAAGAACCCTTGTTTGCACCCTGGCGATGTACGTGTTTTAAAGGCTGTGGATGTGCCAGAGTTGTACCATATGGTTGATTGTGTTGTTTTTCCCCAAAAAGGACCAAGGTAAGAATGTGTAATGCATCATGAGTTCGTGAATTTAGTTCAAAATATCCATTCTGTGTCTTTATGTGTTTGCAGTAGATTATATAATGTAAAAATCAAGAACACTGATTTCGATTGAAAAAATCAATATCATCACATCTTCCAGTTAACATGCATATAACCGTTATGTACTTGAGTCCATCGAATGCAATTTCTGTCGATATCTTTTCTGCGGGTGATAAACCAGTACGGCTTTGCATTTTATTTTTACAAACATCTGTTTCAAATTTGGACTTAGTTTCCTCTGTAGTTGCTATTTCTTAGAAATTCTTAAGTTGCATACAAAGTTCTACTTTTCCTTGGTTTTTCTGCATAATTGAGTACAAAAACTTTCTCATAAACATTACTTAATGATTGAAATATTGTTTATATTGTTAGACCTCATCCAAATGAATGTTCGGGAAGTGATCTTGATGGAGATATCTACTATGTCTGTTGGGACGAAGAACTAATTCCTCGGAAGCAAATCGAACCCATGGATTACACCCCAGCACCAACTATAGAATTGGATCATGATGTCACAATTGAGGTAATACTCTTCAATAAGCAACCTACTAAGCAGCATCGCCCAGGCGGCTACCTGCCTTTGCTAACTTTTCATGTTGAGAATTTACTTGAATTTCAAAATTCAAGTACTAAATACGAAATTCTTGAGTTATCATCATATCATGTTGCTGTACAAAACTTGGAATTTCTTCAATAAGTAATTTGGAGTTCTTTTTTTCACATTGTAATTAAGATACCAATCCAAATTTTGACTCTCGCTCCTGGTCTCATTCTTTTCTGTTGCTGGTAGATCGTAGTATAGTACTGAACATAATACTTCTTCTAGTGGTGTTTTTCGAGTATTGAATTTGATCGTTTCTCTTGACCCACAAAAGGAAAAAATGTCTTGATGATAGCTTTGATGTTCTTTGTTTTGTTTGACTTTGATGTTTGCTTGAAAGGGAAACTTAATTTTAATTTATTTTGATGTATTTACACTTCAGTGATTCTAACGCTTCGATTCACTTTCCTTTTCGTTTGTCTCATGCCATACAGGGCAGTTTTTGTAAGAAACAAAACCCAGTATACTTGATCTTCATTTTCTTTTGGTGCAGGAAGTTGAAGAATATTTTGTGAACTACATGGTCAATGATAGCTTGGGCATAATTGCCAATGCCCACACTGTGTTTGCAGACAAAGATCCCTTAAAAGCAATGAGCGCAGAATGTATAGAGCTTGCAAAGCTATTTTCAATTGCCGTTGACTTTCCAAAAACTGGTGTGCCGGCTGTAATACCTCCACATTTATATGCCAAGGAATATCCAGATTTCATGGAAAAACTTGACAAACCCACCTATCAGTCATCCAATGTAATTGGAGCTCTTTTTCGTGAGGTGAAGGACATTGCGCCTCATGAAAGCTCTATCACATCCTTCACTCGTCAAGTGGCGAAGCAGTCATACGACTCTGACATGGTAGTTGATGGCTATGAGGATTACATTGAAGATGCTATCTATTACAAGGGCAATTATGATTACAAGTTGGGAAATCTGATGGAGTATTATGGGATCAAGACAGAGGCTGAAATACTTAGTGGGAGTGTTATGAGAATGTCAAAATCTTTCACTAAGAGGCGGGATGCAGAGTCTATAAACGTGGCTGTGAGATCGTTGAGGAAGGAAGCTAGGGCGTGGTTCAATGAGAAGGGAACTGGTTTAGATTCCGGAGCTGATGATGTATATGCCAAAGCTTCAGCTTGGTACCATGTCACATATCATCCTGATTATTTTGGTACATACAACGAGGGGCTGAATCGTGACCATTTCATCAGCTTTCCATGGTGCGTTTATGACAAGCTCGTCCTCATCAAAAAGGATAAAGCAAGTATACGCATGTCATCTCTAGAAAGCCAATTCTGGGATGGGTTGCATTTGAGTTGAGAAAGTTGGAAGTTTTTGATGTTTGTTTCTTGGTGATGGGGTAAGCTCGTAAATTGCTTATGCTGATGGTAAAATTTGAGTGTATTTTGCTTGTTGTATAATATAATAATGGATTGATCTTCGGTTTCTTGTTTCTGACACTCGAAAGTTGGTTTGAAAGCTCGATGTACTTTCCTGGATAGAACGTTTACTGAGATGCAAGTATGTGATAGCATAAGATATCATATGTAAGGATAAATGCTTGTAATGATTTGAGTTTCAAGTTTCTTGCAATATATGAATTGCTTTGTAAATTGATATTTTATGGAAAGTCTCTTGCAATTTATGAAATGCTTTGTAAATGGATGCATTATGAAGTAATTTATAAAATATCCATTCTCAAAGCATTTCAACGGCAAAATCATAAATTTTTATGTGCCGTCTACTTAAAATAGTAATACATTCTCATACAACATTGAAAATAAGTATAAAATGTTATTTCAACCTTTTTTCTCATCGAATTTCTATAAATGAGTCTTTAAAGGATGAGATGAAAAATTGCATTATGTCTAAATGTATATTAATCAAATTATGGGAAATTTTTACACAATAGTATATTGCACAAGACATGCAATTTTTTCACTACCCTTGCTGCTTTATTTAGGTACAGATATTGAAGGAAACTAAACATATTAAACTCTCAATATTAGACCACATGTAAAAATGGTTCTGCATTTGGGTTCCATCATTAAACTCATCCAAATGAATGTTCAGGAAGTGATCTTGATGGAGATATCTACTTTGTCTATTGGGACCAAGAATTGATTCCTCAGAGACAAATCCAACATAAGGATTATACCCCAGCACCAACTATAGAATTGGATCACGATGTCAGAATGCAGGCTATTACTCTTGAAGATCATGTGGTTATGCTCAATTTTAATTTTTTTTTCCTAAGAGCAATTCCACTCCTAAAGACTTTACGCCAGGACCCAGCGCATTTATCCACTCAAGCGAACAATAATAGACCAAAGCATCTCCACCTCTAAAAAAATGCGCTGGCACAAACGATCTCCACTCCTACAAAATGCGCTGGCATCCAACCCATTTAAAATATTTTATAAAAAGAATAAATAAATAAAATAGTTTTAATTTCGGATAAGATTTTTAACCAATCTCGTAACGCCACGTGTCATTATCCGAACGTACTATTATGTGAATATATTTCCGCTTAGATTTGCAACCAATCCCGATGCGCCACGTGTCACTATTTGTTTACAATAATTTAGCCAAGATTATGATAAGATTTTCAACCAATCTTATTACGCCACGTGTCATTATCCGAACATACTATTTTATGGATAGATTTTCGATAAGATTTTCAACCAATCTCGACGCGCCACGTGTCACTTCCTGTTTGCAATAATTTATAGAAAAAAAAATTTAAAATTTTATGTATTTTTAAAAAAAAATTCTGTATTTTTTCATAATTTTTAATAATTTTTAATGTAGTTAATTAATCTGGACCGTTGAATTTGAAAAATATTCAAATCCAAGAGCCAAGGAGCTGGCACGTGGCCAACAGTCATAATTCTGACCGTTGGGCCTTTTTATTTTTATTTTTGGGGAAAAAAAGGTGGACCGTTAATATGTGATTGGACGGTCTATTTTAAAAGTAAAATTTAAATTTTTTTTAATGTTGGAAATCCAACGGTCGAGAAAAACTAGCCGTTGGAAATCTAATAGCATTGAGAGGGCCATGTCGCCTACTTCCGGGTGAAGAACAAGTGGGCTGACAGCGGGCCTCGCCGCCTGCACCCATGTCCCCTACTCGCGCCCACTCGCGAGTGAACTGCACGCGTTAGCCAAATAGGCTGGTCTCTGGGTCTGTCAAAAATGGGCTGGTCTGTTACCTGGCTTGGGCTGGGTGCCAGGCAAGTTTGTGGGCTGGAGTGAATGGACTGACCCCCAGCTTGGTTTTTTGACTGGGTGCTGGCACATTTGCACCCCGGTGGAAGTGCTCTAAGGGTTGATTTGATTTTAATGATGATTAAAAAATAGAAAATTCTATAATGACGGTTAGTTTGAAATTCTTGAATTATCATGTTGTTGTACAAAATTTAGTGGAATAAGGGTTTGTTGTTGTAATGATTGTTTCTGTAGACGACAAAAGAAAAATAAATATAAGTATTTTGACGATAATTGGGATAAGGCTTTATCAAGTACACACTAGCATTTACGTTTGATGATGAATTCCAATCTCTCTCCTTTTGTTCCCTTTTATTTTCTTGAATAAGATGATGAAGCAATAATATTTCAGTTTTAGTCAGAATCATTTGCGTTTGAGAACAGCAAGCAACTGACTTTTCTCGTCGCGCCGTGAGTTTACGAGGTCGGAAATGTCTAGAAGTTTATCGGTCACTCTTCCGAACATTTCATCCATGACCTCACTTCCAAAGTGTCTGGCAAACATCCCCTCCACTGCAGCCCTTACATGTTTCACCAAAGTTGGTATGTCAACTGGACGATTTTGCAGCCATGCTGCTGGGTTTGACGACTCCATTCTCTCTATCTTAAAACACCCGTTTTTCTCTACTATCTCCTCCATCTCCTCTAACGAGGCTGCATAATATGGCAAGTTGAAGGAATCCACTTCACTTTCTTCAATTATTCCCTGTGGAAGAAAAGGAAATACAACATTTTCCAACATGAATTTATACAATTGTTCTTTTCTAGTCATCTCTGTTTTAACTGTATATAATTATGTTATTCTTTTTAATTATTATGTACGTGGGTCAACAATTATTTTATTTTCTAAAACACCTCCTTGAGGAAAAAATTAGAGAAGGAAAATCTATGGTTCTGCTTCAAATATCAAAAATAAAAACATTTTTTATTAGAGAGCAATAAAGACATTTCAGTTAGTGAATTTTTTCTTTCCTAAAGAATTGTAAAAAGTTCTATCAACATATATTTTCAAGTAAAAACACTTGTTGGCGTCTCTTCACTTTTTAGAGCCTCAGCTTGTGAAATTCGACTTTCATTGTTTTTGTCCATTATGTGATATCCTTTAACACACACACCAAAGTTATTTTAATATTTCAATGTAAATTATAGGAGCTTATAAATAATGAGTTATCGATATTACCTCTTTTGCCATATCCATGAGGCTAGACGATATACAATTGTACAACATACCCGCTGGGATTTCAGAATAAGGCATCCCTTTGGGGATTCCAGACAAGATCATTACCATCATTCCTCCAGGCACAAGCTCTGTGGCCCTAACATTCAAAAAGTTCTTCATGTCCTCGGCAAACTGCGCCGCGTAAGCATCAACCACTTCATCCGGGGCACTTGTGTAATGAATCCTGCCCTTGTTCCACGCCGGAGAGTCCTTGTTTTGCAATACTTCAGGCGACTTGGAGATCCAATGAAGACTAGATGAGGTATGTACAAAGTGGATAGACGACTCGGGAAACAAACGGCGATGGAAAGAACCGGGCACGCCGGCTGCAAAGTATTTCCTGTCTTGTGGGAGAGAGGTGAAGAGGGTATTGAAGTCATTCGCCTCTAGGTCGTTAAAGAAGACTTGAAATTCAGGCATTTGATGATCATCAGAGTACTGTTGATCAGCTTTGGGACATGATTGGGATAATTGGGATCGGTGTTTGCGTTGCATAGCTTCTAGTATTTCTTGAATTATCATGAAAGTGTTTGGTCCAGTGGAACATCCCAAGTCTGCTAGACAAATGGTGTTTGAAAAAGATGAGAGTTTTTTCATATCAAGCTTCTCCTCAATTTCCTCAATGATTTTTCCCTTCTCAAGATCAGCAGATTCTTTCTACAAAATTAACGGTACCATTAACCTAATACAAGTGAAATTTTACACTAAATTCATCTAAATTATGAGGAGAATGATTTAAACTTGAGTGCAGAAGAGAAGCAAATTGCTCTATAAACCAACATGCCTAAGCTCGTATCTGAAATAGTACTAATTCTAAAAAATACAAAACCAAAGGATATGAATTCGTTTTGTCCGTCCAACATTCTAATAAACCAATATGTTAATAGTCAGGGATGGAGTTGGAAATTTCTTTTAGTGGGGGCAACCTAAAACTAAGATTACCTTACTTATACCCAATATGGCAATGATGATGATTTTAAATGACGATGTATCACAATTGCAATGTTACAAAAATTTCAGTACCATCCATATTATAGTGGAGGTGAATCCAATCTTTATAGGAAAGCAACCAATGTCTAATTGTTAATTTTAAAACACATATTCGGATGTTAATGGAGAACCCGATATGCAAATGGATGGAGCTGATTATATTGTCAAAATTTATGAAAAAAAGAAAGAAAAAAAAGAAGAAGTAAAACTCCCAAATACAGAATTGTTCTTTTGCCCTTTATTCCCTGGTATTCTAAGAATTTAAGAAAAAAACAAAAGGCAAGATCGTAGGGCAAGGAATTAGCTAGCTAGGCTTGTAGGTAGCAAATATATACATGGGCGCCATACGGTCTCGGCAACGAATGAAAACCAAAACTGAAGCTTGATATAGAAACTATATATCATGCATGTCTGTATAAACTCCCATTCTCCTTGACCGCATGTTTTAAGAAAATTATGGTCATTCACTATTCGACTTTAAAGTGCAACAACAAAAATTAAATGATCACCTACCATTTGAGATCGAACGGTGGTTGATCATAATTTCTTTGAACCATGAGTCTAGGAGAATGAAACTTCGTGTATATATATGTGTATATGTATAGCATGCACATGATCATAATATTAGTTGGTAAAGTCGAGGTCATGCATTACATAGCTAGGGTTTCATGCATACATGATATGCATGATATATATTTACAAACAAACAAAAAAAACTAAATACATATTAAATCATGGGATTTATACCTGGTAGGAGGAGTTCTTGGAGTAGCTGTAAGTGCCATTTCCACCGTTCATAGGCAGCGGACCTGTGACCGGTTTCGCTCTATTTTCATGATCTCCGTTGAGATTCATGGGATCAGCTGAACCCGACAACATCGTTCGATCCCCTTCTGCCATATAATTAGAAGCTTATAGAGGCAAGTAGATTTGATTTGTGAAGAATGAGATTAGTAGGCGTGGGATTATATAGAACAACTCAAGGACCAAGGGGAACAAATGCTCATGCAACGTGTTGGTACCACCACTACCTTATATTAATTACAAAGACCTCAATCTGTTATTTCACACTTTTAAATAAACTGGGAAAATAAGTCAAATATATATAGATAAAATTGTTATTGGTACTCTAAAATTTTTATTTGCATTCTAAAGTCCAAACTTTTTATATTTAGAAAGACAAATACACTTGAATAATATTTAAAACATTTTTTTTTTGTCAGCATATATCATTTCCTAGTTTAAACAATTACATGTAATCTATATAGGGCAAAGTAAATCTTTCTCAGGGTCAACCATATGAATCTATATAACGAGCATTTGTAATTCTGTGCAAAACCTTTGTCAAGAATTTGCTTGCTTTTAAATTAATGAATCCTGATTTTCTCCAAACCTTTTTCTTTTTCTATTTTTTGCCGTCCTTTTCATATTCAAAGCGTGCATTTTGGCCATGTAATGAACCGCGTATATGACATATATATGTAACCCAGCATATACGTTAACATAAACATAATTATAGCCAAGTTAATTGTATTATCACTTCAAATTTCAAGATTGTTCTTGAAAAAAAAAAATTCATGTTTATTATTATTTATTTAAAAAGGATCGATGATAATACTGCAGGTTAGAGGGAAGGCGCTAGCCATACATAGAACATATACATGTATATTTGAAATGTTCGGCTGATCGAGGACCACTTTTAGGGTTTGTTGGGTTTCAGTAATTAGTAAGTATTTTAAACAAATTAAGTGTACGATTAGCATAAATATAAATGTGGCCAGATAGACGATCATCATCCTTAAATATATTGACAATTTGGTGAGAGTGAGATTAAGAGCTAGCTAGCTAGCTAGCTAGCTAGGGTTATGGACCATGCTATATTTATATATTACAGAAGCTTAACATAAAACGACATGACACATGACAACTTTCTAAAGCTTGAAGCACTAATCTCAGTTTGCCCTTGCGCCATTCTCCATTTTTTTACAGGCTATTGACAGTAACTCTTCATCTCAACAACACTAAATAGATGGCTACTTCTTTAGATATTTCCTAAATTAATGTTGATAATATTTCCTAACATTACCGATATTATATTTAACTTAACCACTTAGCTTCGATGTGGAATTTTATTCGCCATTATATGTAATGCATGTGTGTTTGAGCAGGTTTGAATATTAGATCATTTGCTTACGAAATGGTGTGTCCCTGGATTTGTTGACTTTAAGGAAGCAGGTTAAATAACTGTAGCCAGCATGCCAACAACGTTAATTTAGGGTTTAGATTTCAAGATTATTAACGGTTACCTGAGGTAATATTGTGTTTGTGTTCTTGACTACTTGTTATGGAACTCATATTTTACGGGTGCTCTGCTTAAAAAAAAATATTTTCATCTGCTAAAGCATATGGTGGTCCTCACCAATCACCATGGATGTAGCACCTAATTAAATTATTAATCGTATTCGATATTGTGATCTAAAATAAAGCACCAATTAACGGAGTAATATAATTAAGGTTGGAGACAAAAGATTCGCCGTAGCTCTAGCTTTGTAATTGTATGGCAGAATAGATACTGCCTATTATATGGACACGGTCGTAGGCAGGTAGGTTGGGTGTCGTAGTGTGGGGGATCATGATTAATATATGTATATATATGCACTATCTAATTTACTAAGTAAATCTTAGCAACCGTAGTAGGGGCATATAAACCCTTTAAGAGTTGGCTATCTTTCTAGTTTTTCGGCTTTTGTTTTTATACACACGATAGTTTAAAAAGAGATTAATTTGAACTCGAATTCAAGAATGCGGCCAATATAGTGAAAAAATCACGCAATCGGTTGAATTAGAATTTTAAGGTTTAGGGGATAGTTACTTACAAGTGCACTCAAATTATTCTGAAAATGTATTAAGAAATAAGAGTCCGATAAATTTGAATTATCTACAACCTTGTAAAATAAAACTCTCTTAAAGTATTACTCTACACTCTATACATTTTTAGAGCGACAAACTCAAGAGAGTATAAGCTAGATAGCTTTTGTGCTATAGTTTACCAAAGAATTAAAAAATTATGCTTCCAAATCCACAACGTTGTACATCAAATCTCGGAGGGTGACTGATGGTGATGGTGAACATAAGTTTAACAAAGAGAACTTGACTTGCAAACTTATCTTCCCCTTCACTAAGTTGAGCCTAGCTCCAGTGACCAACCAATACCCTGGACCGTCTTGTGGGCCCCTACACAGATGTGACATGTCCACGTACTTCACAAACTTTTGTAACTGCAGCGGCACCGGAGGCCCTGTCGGGAACACACTCGAATCCACAATCACTCGATCATCATCGGGCAGTACTCTATCTCTCGACCAATTACTCCCCGAAATCGATGTACTTATGGCACTGAAGAGACCGGACGATGACGACTTTTGGGAATGTTCCGACGGTGGTTCAGTCCAATTTGATTGGACAACGAAATGATCTGAGACTTTGGAGAACAAGAGCCGAAGATGGAGGACATTCTTTGTGTCATGCTTCTTTACAACAAGCTGGACCCCGGACACTATGAAGGACGCATCTTTCTTGGACGACATCCATTTGGGGTCGTATTTTACCGGTACAGTGCACACATGGGAAATCTTTTTCCGGTTTATGGCTTCAAAGTAGCGGTCGTCGGCAATTTCATCCGATCCTCGCCATGTTGGTGTGTCATCTATCTTGTTTTGCAACATGAATGGTGTGTTTGATAGATGTTGGAGGTGGACGGCTAGCCTGAGATCAGGTAACAGTAAGGCATTTTTCATCATTATGTACATAGCTTGATAACGTTGTACTATTAGGGTTTCTCATCGTGATCAACAATTCCAGTTTATCACTTTATTGGATTTTGACACTTATCATCCCTTTCTATCCCATTTTTTAGGATTTGGATCCCATCCGGATTCTATCCGTAAGGATCTCAGGGATTCTCATATTTTATATGTTCATCGTATATTCTGCGACTAAAAGTCATTTTGAATTTTTTTATTTAAAATTAAGTACAAACAGTAAATAACGAAAGTTGATTACGTGATAATTAATTGAATTTCATGCAGAAGTACTAGTACCTGTTGGCTTTCCTGCCCTCAAGATACAAGCGCATCCCCGTGACAGGCCTAAATGCAACCCTAACTTGCGCAGAGTTTACATATAGTTTAGGACCCATCCGGTTGACGTGGATTGCAGGGGACCGAGTCTTCCTATTGGAGGCTGGGCCTAGAGCCAACCCATTGAGAACAGGAGCCCAAAGTTTGTGGGTTTGAAAGTCCAGAAAGTACTGCAGATCATCTATTGGAGGCTTGTCTGCAAGTAACACATACAAAATTAAAAGGATAAATTAAGCAATGTTATGAATTACTCTAATTAACAGAAAAGGGGAATTGAATATGGTGCGGTGTAGCGGGCATAGTGCGTTAACTAACTGGGTTAACTCATGTGATGAAAACTAGTAAGAACGCAAAAGGCATTACAAATAAATTGAACTTACATCGAAGATAGAGGTTGATGGCATGCGACAGGAAACCCTTGCCTGGCACATCTTTGAGCAGAGAAGTGATCGGAATGAAACTAAACTGAATTGCGTCCGGCATTGATGGAGCTGTGAGAAGCCACTCGTAGTGGCTGCTGGCCAGCAGATCGCCTCCTTTTTTATAGAATATCACACTAATACCCTGCAAAATTCATCTGCCACGTCGTCATGACAAGTACTGCTAATCTTTTAATTGACTGATTAATTTTCCCTAATGCATGCTCCTTTCATTAAAATGAGTAGTATATATCCATATTAGTAGTGCAATATATAGTAGAACCTACATACATCTTTTGATTTTGTGGTTGAGAAGCCATTAATGGCCAACTGAGGATCATGAAAGACACTGATTGTCTGTGGTGCCTGCAATTAAACCATGTGCAAATATTATTATGGCTCAAATATTATGAGGATTAAAACTGTATATAGTAAGCGAGTAATATATATATATAGGAATTGCTTAAGGGGAAGGATCCCTATTTTTTCAAAAAAATGGGGACACGCTCCCCACCGTTGGATTTGAATTAAATGAAATCATGTGGTTGAGATTCTATGGCCTGTGTTTTAATCTCAACTACACAATTTCATTAAAGTCAATCTAACGGTGGGGAGCGTGTCCCCATTTTTTTTGAAAAAATGGGGATCCCTCCCCTTAAGCTCCCTGTATATATATATATATTTAATTTGTTGGTGATGTGACAAATGTTTACTCAATTATCATGTTATATTTATTCATATAATATGGGCGTTAGGTGCATCACATGTCGTTGACACTGCACGTTAAAAAAACTTTTCTATACATTTATATACCTTGTGTTTTTGGTCTTTGGATTTGGAGTGTGATGGGGAGAAACTGCATGCCCCTGTAAATTGCTGATCTCCAAGCTCATTCAAGTGATTTTTGAGGTCCGATGGCTGCATGTTTGAAGATTTATCTTGCTTTACTAAGACAACATCCTCGCCCCCAACACTCAATCCCACGACGATGTGAGTGCCATATTTCTCAATGAATCTGTCAAATGTGCACACAGTTAATGTCAAATAAGAGCAAAATGGTTGTCTGGTATTCAAAGATAAAAGTTTTAGACAAATTAAATTGAGCAGAACGCTAAGTTGCAGCTCCCCTTGAGCGGAATTGGTAAACTAGATTTTGTGTAGTGAAATGATCTATAAAGAGATGATCGACAAAAGTAAAAGCTTCGGTGAACAACGGCTGGACTATAACGATCCTAAGATTGTGAAATTCTTTGTCCGGTAAGTAACGTCCCAGTAGCCAGTACATGTTTACCAGACAGCCAAATATTCCAAAACCAAAGAATTGGTCAGTCCAAATAGGAACGGTCCACAATGTAAAAACAG